AATATCGTACCTATCTATAGCAATTACATTGCTTCTTGAATTTTACTCTTATCCAAATACCGAACAGAAGATGATCGGAGTTTGTGTCGGATCCTCGTAATGTTCTTACATTAGTTATACCATTTTGAAACCTGTTTCTGACCAGTACATAGTCAATCTGGTTTTTGTGCCTCCCGTCCAGTAACACCCAAGTATATATGTATATATCTTTGCGTGGGAACATTGTGCTCATAAATTATTAGACCTTTTCCTATTGCAAAATTTGCTAGTTTTGAACCATTATCATTTGAGTGTTCTAGAGGCCGTGAACTCCTGTCACATTATAGTATATCCTTTCCTTTTTTTTTTTATCATTTAGATCTCCTAATACAATTTTTATATTTCCCACCGTTGTATCAAATTTTCAACATATTAAAAATCAAAATCAGTAATTATTTGAAAACAAATTTTTTTTATAATTAAATACTTATTTTAAATAATTAGTAATAATATAAAAAATTAGAAGTGATAGAAGTCTAATTGCAGTTTTGAAAACAGTGCGAAAAGTATACTTTTGATTTTGTTGAAAATTCTTTATAGACCACTTATTTATTAATAAGTAAAAAAAAATTTTTTTTGTAAAGTATTGTATCAAGCCCTTTTAATTTTTAAACATGTTTGTCACCGAAAAAACGAAGTATACTACTTTACTTGTTATTATTTCTCCTTAAAAATTACAATGTTAAATTATTGAATATTAGTTTTTAATAAATTTAATTGATATAATTAGTGTTTATTCATATATTATTTTTTGAAATGTTGTTTAAAACTATGTTCTAAGAATAACTAATCAAGACATAATTAATGAAATAGGAGTTGATCTTGGTTTTGTAATTTACCATCAATTTCTTTGAATTAAACACTATCTACAGATTTGCATGAAGCATTTCTTATAATAGTGATTTTAATCACTGTCAGATATCATTTATACTTGTCTCAACTATCCCACGTTCATAATGTGCCGCGACACTACTCTGCTACCGTTTTTTTTTTGTTGAGTACATCTTTTGGAATTGATTTTTTTATATTATTGCTATCATAACTATAGCCACAATAAAACTTAAAATATTAATATACTTAATATATTAAAATATGTTAAATTTTAGTTAAATAATTTATAACTTAATTAATTTATAATTAAATGTACATAAATTGTTAAAATAAAATGATTATATTTTGTGTCAGTATACAAGATTATTTTGCTCTTACTAAACCGATTTTGCTCAATGAAAAATCACAAAATTTATCTTGTTTAAGCTATCAGTTCTATAATTTTAGAAAATTTTTATTAATCCCAAAATGGGATATGAATCTCAAATGGAAAGTGTCTTAAAAAATAAGTTCATAAAATAGTCTATGTTGATATTTTAAGTTTTTCACTTAATATTGAAATAACTTTTTGAAAATTAAACGGATTATTCAAAATGTTTAATGATAATACTTTAGATATTAATCTTATCGGTAACATACTTTTATGAATATTAAATCATTAATTAAGGTACTGTGAGGCTGAAAAGTCATATCATAATTTTTTTTTCTTCAATTTTTTATAATGTTCCGAAATACTTGACTTTTTAAACGTATATAAAATTAAAATGAACACAATATACATTAAGAAAAAAAACGGAAATCTTGATTTCCTAGAGTTATTAAGCATTGCAATAAATAATCATACAATTTTTGGTAAAAATGCTGGTTTTGTAGTTTTTTCATATCAATGAAATACTGGCATTTTAAATTATTTCAAATTAAAGCATGTTTGATTTAATATAGGATTAAATAAAAAAAAACGTTCTGGTAACTTGTTCTCTATGAATAATTGGCCAGTTAAATCATTAATTTGTCTCTTTGATACATTTTATTTAAAACATTTTCAAATACATAATAAAGTAATTTACAATAGTGAATTTAATAACTGTCAGATTTCAATAGATATTAATCTAAAATAATGCTCATCTCTGCTACACTTAATCCCGTCATTACTTAACTTTTAAAATTTGTTTGCGGAAGTATCCTCAAGGCCAAGTTTAGTTTGTTTTCAAAGCTATAATCGACATCTTAGCACCTCTAAGAAGAGAAGTCGACGATTAACCGCACCACAATGTAATTTTTTGTATAATTAATTACAAATTCTAAAAATTAGCACAATTTGACGCTAAAAAATCGCAAAATAGTTAGGATATCATGCTTATTGTGAACTATCTACGTTTTTAGATTATTTCTGATGCTGTGATGCCACGTTTGACCTTAGAATAATTTGCCATCGCTAACAAAGTGACAGATTTGACGTCGACGATTTAACGAAAAAGAATAAATAAGTTACCATCTCTTCACAGGATTGCAGTAAAATATTGAAGTGCGTACTCGCTATTTGAAACGTGCGACCAGTGGCAGTGGCAAAAATAAATAAAATAAATAAATTGTAAGTTCATGCATTTTTTTTTTTCTAAACAAACATTTAAAAAAATTGTGTAAACATGTATCAATGAGTTACGTTTTTTATAAAAAATAAATTAAATAGTCTAAATAATTCTTTTAAACTGTTTAAAATATGTTAATATTTTCATTTGTTAAAGATACATATTATAATTTTTTTTCTCAAGATATTATTTGATAAGAAAAGACAATTGGAGTTCGGTAATTTAAAAATTGATTTTTTTTAATTTACTGACTATTTAATTTGTAAAATATTATTGTATATTTAACAAATTGATGTCCATTTAATACTTATAAATGCTCAGACAAATGGCATACTCAGAGATAGGGTTCCAGGGTCTTAACCCTCTCAAAACTAGCTTAGTTATATAGTGAAAGAAATGAAACTCTACACAAGTCTATTATCAACCTATAGCGAAAACCTTACCCGAACTAAAATATGGGTACATTCAGTGCTCGAATTGGCCAAAAATAAGTAGGGGAGCTCAACTTAACAATTTGAAAACTGCGTCCCTAGTATTTTGAAGACCTTTTTTTTTTTTTTTACTCATTACTTTATTTAGTATTTATAAATAAATCATATTTCATTATCATACTAATATTTTAAAAAAAAAAAAGAGGTGGTATTTTCCACCGTCCTCCCGTCACAATAAAAAAAAGTAGTTGGGGTGCGCAAAAAAATTTTAAAAAAAGTAGAGGAGCTACGTCCCCCTGCGCACCCCCCCCAATTCGAGCACTGGGTACATTATTGGTTTAGACAATGATTTGTGACTTAATCACAAAAACCAAAATGCAAATGATTATTTAAGTTTTGATTTCTTTTATAATATTGTACAAAAGCATTGCTTAAAATGTCGTTAAAAATTACCAAGTTTAAAATATCCTTTTTTCTATGAAAGTTAAATATATAACATAGCTGCATAGCAAGTCGAAAAAAGTCAATAATTTTATATTAAAATTAAAGAAATTCTTCATATTTATTTGGGCATGACCGCAATCTGAAGGCTTAAGTAGGTAGCCTTCTCAAGTTTTGTCATAACTCACAGGGTACTCTCTTAAAATTATGATTGCATGTAAGCATTTTAATATAAAAATATTTTTAAGAAGGAGCGAAATTTTTTTCCAAAATTATTTAATAATTTTAATATCCCAAACAATATATTTAAGTGGCGTATATGTACTTAGGGTTTTTGATTTCATGATCCACTTTTATTTTTTTACTATAAATCTTCCTGAGACACTTACTTTGATATCCAACTCAATTGTCATGAATTTCTTTCGGTGATAACGCTTTTTGTTTTAAATATTACCAAATCACTAAAACACATTATTATTTTTTTTTTTTTCTAAGAAATAATAGTGTAAAATAGGTAAATATAAAAATTATTTTATTTTTAAAATGCACAATTTATTCTAAATTTAAATTTCTTTTAAATTATTTTTTATTTCAAAAACGGTAACCAAATACGATTTCATTTTGGCTAAGTTACTGCTGCGTTTGCCACTAAACTCTGGTGTTTACACCACCGTTTATCGTCTATTAAGTAATCGTACTAATCGTAGCAAGTGTAGTATTGGTTGCTATTCTAATCGGTTATTAGTAAGAGATAAACAGCTTTTCTTTCGTGTAACTACTATAAATTGCAAATGATCAAATTTACCGGAATCACAGAGATCGGGCTGAATAAATATGACCCCAAAATACATTTTTGAAAAAAAATTTTTAATTTGTAGTACTATAAATTTCATAGAATGTTACTAGTCAAGTATATAGTGTCCCATCGTGATTTACTAGTTTGTATAGTCAAATTAGTAAATCAGGGTTATTAAAAAATCGTTATTCGTATTATTCGTAAATCACGGTGGGATACTGTGTTTATAAAATTAAAGATAACACCTTTATCTTTAAATATATATATATATATATATTATATATGTTAAAATCATAACTTATAGTTAAAAATATTTTGACTGTCGTAATATACTCATCGCTATCATAATATGAAATAACAGTAGACTACTCTGTTTGTGTCCACAATAATGGTCTTTCAATTAATATTTTCATTTACGATAATTAATCACTTCCATTTATAAATTATATTCAAATTATTTGAATAACATGATTATTACTATCAAACAAATAATTTAAATAATTGACTTGGAGAAATATTTAACAAACGCATACTGTTGCTTATTATATTATATTAAACACGATTCTGTCATGAGTCAATTATTAGTCACCTTTAAAAATCACTCTTTCCGAGAAGAAATTTATAAATTATACTTGTCAGCTCTTTTTACTCTTATCTTAATAATAAAAGAAATGTGTGAACCCTAATCTTAAATGTAAAAACAAACTATATTAACGTTATATACAATATCAAAATGATTTGTATGTTATTCACATGTATTAATTTATATATTTTATGATTACTTATCAATAAACAATAGCATTGCAAAAATGAGACAATGGTGATTTTCGGTCATATAAAATATTATAAAAGGCAGAGCAATTCCTCAGAGTCGGCCTGTTCTAATTGCGCTCTAACCTTCACACGTAAAATTTGTGATTATTATGCCGAAATTCTTACGTGTTAATTTGTGAACTAAAAGTAAAATTTGTGTTACTTTGTTTATCAATTATTAATACTGTTACTGAAGTTATTCTAAGAAAAAAGAAAAATTATCAGGTAAGATTTAAAATCAATAAGAGTCAATATTTATATTATATTAATACACAATTATTTAGAATTAATAATCTGAGTAAAGAATGATAACAAAAAGCAATAGATCAAATATTTATATTAATCTTTATTCTTTAATTAATTACTACTGACTAGTTTGTACGTTATACATAATCACATTACATGGTATTCGTCAGATGGCCAACGCCTCTTCGTTACCTCAGTGTATTATTACAGGTACTTACCAGTTGGATAATTAATAATACCTCTATAAGTAGAACTTTAATTATTTCTTTTTATATCTACTCGTCTTTATTATTTCATAACTTTCGAATCATACCTCGTACTAAAGTAACTCATATCATTACCCAACACACTGTCGCTTTATTTTATTTTGAGTTACGATATGACTTAGAGATTTTTGAAATTTTATATCGGTCATTCCAGTTTTTACTCTTTTGGTAGTTAATTAAAAAAAAATGACAATGATGTTAAATTTTGTGTACACAATAAACTAGGCCAATTGATTAATAATGTTTCTTATACCTAGAGCCTTAAAGTTTAAGTTTTAAGTTTACGAGATATTGAGGTGCAAATCATTACCCCGTGCGTACCATTCTATTGTGTTCTATTATATCAGTCATTCAAATTGAAGTTTCTATAAAATCTTCAGTTTAATTAAATTGGTATATACATTTATATTTATATATTTATATTTATCAAATAAATAAATAAATTTATAGTAATAATTTAATAAAAGGGCAAAAAGTGTAAATTAAATACTGACACACAATAATCAAAAATAATAATCTTTGAACAAAATAAAATTATATATAAATACACCATAATTTGGAATATTTATCAATTAAGTAATATAATTAAAATTGAAAAAGTACAAAATAGATTTTTATACATGATGTGTTTCAAGATTGGTAAAACTAAAGCTTCTATTAATGATTTTGCTGATGATTTGAATTTAGCAATAAGAAAATTCAAAAGTGATATAACAATATAAAAGTGTATACTTTATTTTTTCAAATAGCAACATGCATAATTAATTAGCTTATAAAATAGAAAATAATGTAATTAAGTAAATTACTGGTCGTTTGCACATTTTTACCAGTATTACAGAAGTTATTAATAATTTAAAGTTTGACTAGAAGTAGGGACTGGTAGTTCTCGTTTTATCATTAACTCCACATTCTTCCCCAAAGCTCCTCGCTCCATCCAAACATAAAAATGTTATTAACTTCTAAAATACTGATCCAAAAACTTTTATTAAACAGCAATTTATTAATTACATTATAATATGTATGCTGCTATTTGAAAAAAAAAAATTTTACATTCCTATAAAGTATAAAAGATGATCATAAAAAATATTTTGTTATAGATAATTAGAAATACATATATAACTAACAAATGCAAAAAAAAAAAACACAAATAATTATTATTTTAAGAGAAATTGAGTGCCTAGCGTTAACGTATTGACTCTGTATAGTTAAAATAATAGTTACAATAACTTAATAATAAAATCTTAGGAGGTCGATTTTTTTTTTTTTTTAATTTAATGTTATCGTACTATTTTAAAAATTTAATTTATATTAAGACAGCTATATAACCTATAGTTAAAAGACATCAATTTATGTAACTTATAGTGCTCGATGATTGAGCTGCTGCCTACTGTAAATTTTGTATAACTCGAAAAGGTGAATATGTTATTCAAATATTATACACATGCAGACCACTATAAAATATAGTGGAATTATATTTGAAGAGATTCAAAATATGTATATGAATTAAAATTGCATATTGTTTACCTAAAATATATTTTTTTTAATATATTGCTAAATTAATGTTTTATGGTGTTCACTTTAAGAACAGCTGCAGTAAACGTCAATTTAAACTCAATGAAGTATTCCCATATTCATTGTTAGAATAATATTTAAGTTGCTTCCTACTTTAAATGTCTTAGCACGACCACTAGCCAATTTTTTTCACTGATCGTTGGCATTGTTACAAATATGTTGGTTTGACCGCAATTTTTGTAAGTGCGTTTTTAACGCCAGCCTTTTATTTTATTTCTAACATATTATACAAGAAAAAGCAGACAATGTAAATTAATTTAAAAAACGGAGCTTTTAGATATTACTAGTGATAATTTCATTAAGGATTATTAGCGATTTCCTTTTATACAACATGTATAAAAATATTGGTTTAAAATGTCGATCTATTACAAACGACCCACATGAAAATAACACAATTAAAATAGTTAATGTCAATCTAAGACTTTGAATTTCCAAAACTACTTAGAGATGTAAACATTTTCACTCGTTCCTAAAAAAAATTATATATATAATCACACAATTATATGGATTCTTACAAAGTCCACGATTTATAATTAAAACCTCAATATTTTCTCAAATTTAACTTTATTTGATTTTAAAGGAGAATACAAGGCAAAATATTTATTATAACGTATTTATGGAGCACGTGATACAAATATTGGCAGTATTTTTGCTGTTTGGCATTAACTATTTAAGAACACAAGAAGAATACATAGATTTTGTTACCTACATAACATGATTGCAAAGGTCTCATTAACTCGTAAATGTTTTTAAAATACCAATTTTTTTTAGATTCATTTGAAAGAAAATTTGTCTCGTGACTGCTGTTTCAATCGCATTATTTAACATTGAAGGGCAAATATTTTGTTAATATTTTTATATGTTGTATATTATAATATTGAAGTTTCTCCTCTTGGTAGAAAAGTCACTTTACAAGGATTATGCTGGATCATTTATTTATTCAATCAATCCTCTATATTTTGAACTGATTTTCAATTGCCTATGATGATTTCTAGCTATAGGTTTGTCATTTAGATGCTTCGTCGCTGTTTTCTCTTCCGAAACAATAGGAAGTCCTAGCTTAATGATATTTATAAGTTATGTAGCCTTTGTAGTACAAATAAACTAAACTAAACTAAACTAAGTAAAAAAAAATTGTTTATATATCGAGAGTAGATAAGATAAATATTTTAACATTACAATAATGCAATGATGTTGTGTTATATAACCATGATTTCAGATAAACAATAGGAATCTATATTCAAAGGCAGACATATGTATATCTATTAGTTATAATTCTGAACTTGTATTGAACGATTTTTACATGATTTTTTAAATTAATTTGTTATCCTTATTTCTTCCAATTTATATGAAACATGTATACTTATTTATACTGTTTTGAAATATAACTTATAATATTACATAATTTTCATTATATTTTGTGACGCAGTACCACCACGTTTCCCTTATCTGCACACCACGTAATCGGCCTTAACGAAAGTATAACATATAAATGATTTTTTTTACGTCTTCTAACCCCGTACAGTACCTTTTTTCACATAATTATCTATACGGTTTCGATAATAGGCCGTCGATCCATAGAATAATGTAAAGGTCAAATGTAAATGTATAAAATATTTGACGTTTTTTTATTGAAAAATATTGTCCGATGTTTTAGCTAACTGTAGTATCCATTTATCTTAAATCGCAACAATAATTAATTTTTTCTATTATATTTATTATAATGTACTTTAAATTTTTATATTTTAAGATCTAAATAGATTTTAATAGTAGATAATTCATATTATATTGTAATTAGTAGTTATAAAAGAGTTTTATACAAATTTAAATAAATTGACTACGATATTTAATACGTATGCATAGTTCTATATTTAGTAAATTTATTTCCTAAAGCACTTAAAAGTTTTATTGGGTAGATAATTATAAATTAGCGAGGAAACTTATAACTCGTCATTTTACGCGTATAAAAAATTACAAATATGCATTAATATTAAAACAAAATGTGCTGCGTTCACAATTATCATATCAGTGGTAACTATCTCTATACATATATACTATTGCTAGTACAATTCATTTAAGCGTATTTTATTAAAAAAAAATTATATATATTGTACTCAAATAGCATTGTACAAATTACTGCAAACATCTGAAAAAATATACTTATTTTAAAAGTAAATAAACCTTGATCATAATTATTCAATTAAATTATTTTGTATGCAATACAACTATTATTGGTATCGATGAATGTATAGAAGTAATAGCTGTAATATCACATACATTATATTTTATACATTTATTTTAAATAAACGTCATTCTTCGATTGATAACAGGCCAAATATAGTGCACGACTAATAAAAAACTTAATAGAAATCACAAAAACACTCATTTTTTTTTAAAAACTCTAAAATTATCCCAATTTTCTATTTTTTTTCCTCTTAAACGTTTTCTAAGAATCATACTTGTAAACTGATACTTAATTAACTTAATTACCAATATGAATAACTTATTTAAGCATTATTAATAAAACAGAAACTATTTAAAAATTTTATCGTGTGATTCATTTGATGCTTTCTCCTCTGTCATTAAATGTATGTCAAAAAAGAAAGTATATATTATACGGTAAAAAAATATTTTTTAAATAAAAACATTTTACACAAAAAAGTTTTAATGAAATTCATTTATTATATTGAGTAATTTCCTTTGGAAATCTATATTTTATTGAGGTGATATGAAGACTGCTGGTGTGTGTGTAGATAATGTGGGTAATCGTATCAGATGGAAGTTTAGGATACAGCTGGCTGATCATAAATAGTTGAGATATAGGCGAGGAAGAAAAAGAGAATCCTGTATTTAAACTGTCTAATTTACAGTCTAAAAATTGGCAAAGCTAATTATATAATATTTGTCGAGTTATTACTTAAATATTATTTATGAACCGATGTTTAAGAAAACTTATTTTTTTTAGAGCTCATTTTCATATTCTATTTAAAAGAATTTAATGTTTAAAAAAATTTTAATAGAAGTTCTCAAACATCATTGTTATAGAGAAATCATATGTCAATAACCTGTTTATGAATGATATACTCTTAACTACCTTCATTTGCATAATCTGAATATAATGGCCAAGTTATATTTACTACT